TTGATAAAAATAAATCAAAACCAATTTTTAAAAACTTCTTAAAAATTTTAGCAGGCAAATTTGCCTGCTAAAATGGATGGTTTAAGGGATAGGGGTACAATGTATCGCACCCTGCAATAAATTATAAAATTATAAAATTAATATTTAAAGAGTTTATCAAGAATTTGTAAATAATTTTTTTAGTTAAAATTTTTTTCAAATTTGTCTATTTTTAGCTTATAAGCAACCCAAACTCTTTTCTTATAATATAAAATTAAATGCTACTATAATATAATCCTTATTTTTAAATATTATTAAAAAAAATTCATTTAAATATATTAAATTTTTTAAAAAATAGATCGGAAGTATTTTTATAGTAAAATTCAAGCCAAATTTGGCATGATTTTCAAACGGTTTAAGGGATAGTACCCTTATCCACCAATGAGATTGCTGGACTTGTAAATAGTACCTGGCACTATTCAATTTTAAAAAGAAGTTCTTGAATAAGACCCTGGTACTGTATATAGTGGCCAACGGTAATCATTCGGCCAATTTTTTGCCAAACGTCCCAAAATTTATAAAAAGGGCTGTAAGTCAACTGAGTTAATTGAATCTATCGAGTCGATTGACTAAAAAATAAGGTACGTAGCTGCACACGTAAAAACAGAATGATCTCAGATTTACACGTACGTATGTAAGTAAATTGAATGCTAATTATTTAAATCTTCATTTTGCAAGTGGACAAGCTCGAATTTGGAAATGATCGCCACAATCGAATAAAAAAATTTTTGAGTACGCTTTATTTTTGTGATTATTCAAAGCCTACCAAATAAATACATTTTAAAAAAAACAATATGGCAAAAAACACTCAAAAATCTACATTTTATTGAAAATAATCCCAAAATTGGAGAAGTTTTTTTTTAGAATCAAGTTTTATGAGATCGAATATAGCTTGCGACCCAGTAGGTGGAATTTAATAATATTTATGCCATTAGATTCTTCTCGATGAGATGAATCAAATGGTATCAGATTCATCAAATCATGACTGCTGGATTGTGAGATATCCTTTATATTGTAAATAAAAACTTGTCGTATTACCATAAAACATTTGATTAAAATTGTGCAGATCGACACTGAGTCAGCGTGGGAAGTTTGTGCTACGAGACTTGTCCACCATCAATAATAGCATCGGCTGAATGATATTTCAAATCACAATAAAATTACTACTAGCGCTAGATTATAAAGGTATTCATGAACACTAAACCGTACGTGATCTTGATTATAGGCATTTAAAATAAATCATATCGGCGGATTTTTGGAATTTACTATTAAAAATTCCAAAAATATTTAACGGTGAATAACTTTTGATCCACTGATCCGTTTTCTACAAAACAATTACCAAAATTTTCGTCTCAGTGAGACAATTCTAATGGATACAAAATTGCCAAAATCCAATCACAGGATCCTGATATCTTTGATGATTTGTTCCACTTCGGGTGTTTTAGGATTGGTTTGACCAATCCTAAAACACCCGAAGCGACGCAAATCTCTACCAATCTCGGGGTTCTGTGATTGGATTTTGACAATTTTGTGTCCATTAGAATCGTCTCAACGAGACGAACATTTTGGTAATTGTTTCATCGAAAACGGACCAGTGGATCAAAAGTTATTCACTGTTAAATATTTTTGAAATTTTCAATAGTAAATTCCAAAAATCCGCCGATATGTGACATCACATCATATGACTATACTTGTTATACCAATTATTTCCAGTTAATCACGCACGTGATCCGCATCTCGCGCAGGATTTTTGCAATTTGTCCATCACTAGCCATAAGTGCATCAAGTGCATAAAATGCGTTTGTTCTGTGACTTATATTCACGCTTGGAGAGTGAATTCCGGGACTCACAATATAGCTGGCTTATCTAATTATTTGTTAAGTACTGTATAGATAAAGAAGATGCAGATAAGCCCAGATTACCTAAACGGACAGATCCCATTACTACAATAAAAAATTATATAGTGTGAAATAAATCACTAGTCCAAGGATTGTTCGATAGAAGAAAGGTTTCTATAAACCGGAAATGTCAATAGTATTAAAGTCTATGTCGAAATGATAAAAAGAATTTCTAATTTAATAGAAATGAAAGAAACGATAGTTACAGTAATTGAAAGACTAGGTTTACGTTGCTAAATCTCCATGATTAACCGAAAAATGACTCCAAAAATGGTTCCTAATTGTTCTTTCCAACTTTAATGTGTTTTATCATAAGGTCAATACATGTCAAATGACCCCAGTATTGCATAATCTCCGTTATAATCTCCATTACAACAATGGACAATTTTCTTTATAGCAATTTTATTATAAATCTGTCCTAATAGAGATCAAGAGATCATATCAGTACATACGTTGTACAGCAAGTACGTAGAAATGGAATTCGGAACTTTTTAGTTAAATTAGGGTTAAGTTTCAATGAAAATGCTATCATAAAATATTAGATTAACTAAAGAATTCCGAATCCACTTGAATTCTGTTCCCATTTACAACAAATATATAAACTTAAAACATATATAAATAAGCTAAATGTTTCATTCGGCCTTTAATAACTTATTGTCAATTACATTCTATCTTATAAGAACTTATGCGTAATATGGCGTTACAAACCGTGTGGACTATTTACAATAGAAAAGATCATGTTTTAATCGTGGATTCTAACGAGGAAAATTCAAACAAGTTTAAAATTGAATGCCTAGGCTCCGACAAAAGGGCCAACGACAGCGCTACAATACGTACAAATCAGCCAATTCATTTACAACAGGAGTTTTATTTTGAAGTTACTATTTCTAATAAAGGAGGAAATGGAATCATCGGAATTGGATTTTGTACAAAAGATGCTAATCTAAACCTGATGCCAGGTTGGGAAAATGAATCATGGGGCTATCATAGCGATGATGGAAATTTATTTCACTCGGGAATAATTGAGCCATACGGTCCAACCTTTAGTACAGGTGATGTCATTGGATGCTATTTAAATTTTAAGCATAATAATATACTCTACACTAAGAACGGAGTGCACTTAGGAATTGCATTCAAGAATCTAAAATGTTCAAAGGATTTATATCCTTGCGTTGGACTGAGATCATTTCATGGATCTGTAGAAATAAACTTAGGTTATACTGCAAACGAAACTTTGGCTGAAGAAAGTGGTAGAGAAGTCGCTAAACAAAATCTATTCGAAGAAGCATTAACAATGGCCACCAAAGAAGTAAATGAATTTATCAACTTAGTAAAAGAAGGAGATATCTTCAAAGAAGATTTCGACATAAATAATTTAGATGTATTACCACTCTTGGCGGCTATCAAAGAAAACTTCAGAACTATGTTTGAATCCCTCATTGAAAATCAAGAAAGCTTAGCCATTATTAAAGACTGGGTTGCAAATGCAATCAAAAATTTCGATCAATTAACGAGAACAACTACAATCAATAAAAAGATTTTCTCGAATATTTTAACCCTATTAAATAAATTCCTTATTGAAGAATCATGTGAAATTAACAAAAACAATACAACTTTCGAGCATATTTTAGAAATATTAAAGCTTGAAGCAGATAAATCGGCAGCCAACGTAACTATGAGTAACGAACAAATCTTAGAAGAAGCAGCCTTACATGATCTTACTGAAATTTTAGCAAGTGTAGATATTAACAATTATGAAGAAGCTGTGAATGCCTTAAAAGAGCAATTAAGGAAATCAGAACGAAATCCATGCTATGGAAACTGTGCGAAATGCAAGGAATATAATACATCTAAACTTTGGTGTTCAACATGTGATCCTAATTTAGAATGGAAAAGTGGACATAAAAGTGGATACGAAGATGTTGATAATTATATTAGAGAATTTCAGCAAAAAGCTAAAAATTATACAGATTTTATTGAATGGATTCCGTTTAATAGATTAGATGAAGTAGAACTTATTGGTGAAGGAGGATTTAGTAAGGTGTTTTCTGCAATTTGGTTAGATGGAAAACGAGTAGTTAAAGGTTCTGCAGGAGGATATAAGAGATCTCGTAAAGGCTCATTTAAAGTGGCACTAAAGACTTTATCTAATTCAGAATGTTCATCCGATTTTTTAAAAGAATTTAAAAGCCATATGGAATGTAAAAGTGGACTTGAAGTTTACGGGATAACACAAGATAATAAAAAACAATATTTGATGGTATTTCAATATGCAAATAAGGGAGATCTTTATAAATCATTAAAAGTAAGCCCTGAAGAATACACGTGGCAAGTTAAATTAACACTACTTGTGAATATGGCAAATGATTTAGTTAAAATTCATAAAGCCGGATATACGCATAATGATCTTCATAGTGGTAATATTTTGATAAATAAACATGTTAGTGGACATAGCGTTTCTTATATTGCAGATTTAGGATTGTCCAAAAATAAAAGTGAAAATTCTTCAGTAATTTATGGAGTAATGCCATATATTGCTCCTGAAGTTTTGGAAGGCAAACAATATACACAAAAATCTGATATTTATAGTTTTGGTATTATTATGTTAGAACTATCAACCGAAACTAAACCTTTTAATGAATATCAATTTGATAGTTTACTTGCACTAAACATTATTGGCGGGTTGAGACCAAGATTTACTGATATGGTACCTGACTGTTTCATTGAATTGGCCAAACAGTGCATGGATCTAAATCCACACGAGAGACCTACTGCAGAAGAAATTTTTTTAAACCTTTATAAATGGTGGAAGCTTTTAATAGTACCTGAAATATCGCATAAAATGTTTTATATAAAAGAAAAATTTTTAATGGCTGATGAGAAGAAAAAGAAATTATTAAAAGATAATATATCTTCACAATCATCTTCAAACTGTAAATATACTAGTAAGCATATTGATACACGAGACATTCAGAAATTGGTGAGTACTATACAGTCGTACTCCTCTATAGTCACCTCCTGCATAATCACACTTCTATATAATCACACATAACTTTATTAAAGAATACTTCCATATAAGCGCATTATAGTTATAATCACATATTTGTGTAAAACAAACTGATTGATTATAGAGGAGGACGACTGTACATGAAATTCAAAATATGCTATCAACAATAAAATTTTCTTTCCAGTTATAAGGGAATCTGAGAAGGTGCATTTTAAATATATTCCACATGTAGGATTTGTGTAATTTTATGGCATAAGCTGTATATGTCGCACTTTTTAGTTAACTAAAAGGAATGTGAGATGTCTAATAAGTACCACTTTATGTATACGTTCAATTTGAACTTATGTATTTGTTTAAAATGTAAAAATCTACACACTAATTGTGTAAAAGATATAAAAGCACAAATAAAGTAATTCAGAATTGATGTAGTTCAATTAATAAAGGGCGTTCTCAAGCGCCTATCTCAACAGACTCAATAACGAATTTGATCGGTCTTTTTAATCAAACCAGCCAATCAGATTTTTTATTGAATTCATCTTGAGAACGCTCTAAGTCTAGTGTCTGAAATTCAATTTTTAAATTAGTTGCGGGCTGCAACCAATTAAAAAAAACGACTTGACAGCATGTTTAACACCGTAATGCTTCTAACAAAAGGCATTCAAAACACTCGTCTAGAATTACTTCAATATTAGCCATTTATTGTTTGGAATTTATTATATTGATCGCACAACGTAACAATTTGTTTGTTATGAAATCTCAACACCCGAATAAGAAATTTTGATAACCTACATATAATAAATATATGGTACAAATTTAAAATTATGCAAGTGCTATCTGTCTCGGATAGAGATGCAGTAAAAACTCAAAGAATTGGGATATGCCGTGTAGTAACCAAGTTATTTGATTTTAAGTTACGGTATATCCTCTTATGCTATGTTATGGATTTTTATTTATGCCACAATTTTTACGTACATAAATACATTTATTACTTTAAGTATCCCATTTTCATTAAACATTCGAGTTATTAAACTCGCTGGATTATAATTATGATTGCTGAACCGGTCATCAACAATGTTATTAGTACCTAGTTCCTCTTGGTTAATGTTATTGTAATTAGATGTAATTAGATTTATTTAAATATGCAATATTTAAATGAATCCGTTATTAAAGAGATTTTGTTAAAATACAAAATAAGTCTAAATAGCAAATAAATTTTATATTTTTAATGATATACTACTATGAACATTTATAGTCTATTACATATTAATTCAATAAGTAGCTGCGCAGTTGCACGAAATCAGAAACGAGGAAAATTTATTGTATAAACTATGAGATTTAAAGCAGCTTCGAAATTGAGTTGTCCAAGTCTGGATGTACGTACAGTATATAATGCCATAGCTTGCTTAATTTGATGAGCTATGCCAATTTGTCGATTACGACAATTTATGGATTATGTCTGCATCTTTAATCAGATAAATTCGACTGAATATATTGGATAATAGTGATTGTTTTATTATACTGTATTACAGTGAGTTGAAAATGGTAAATTAATTTCCTACAATACAGAAATACAGTTTTTGTTTGGAATTACTATAATATAAAATGGTTTCGCAGTAAACCATGGCGATGTGTGAATAAACTAATTTCATAAGATTACTGTCGATAGGTAAACAACGGAAATAGCACAGACTTTTTATTATAATAATCAATTCAGCGGATTTGTTGAATTTAGCCTTAAACTAAAACCCCAATTATTTTTAAAAATCGAATCCTTATTTGAAGGTATCATATCCGCCGCAGAAAGAAAGTCGCGATCATGTGATTTCCGATCTTTATGAATCTCGAATGTAAGATCAACATTATAATTTATGCTAACTGTATTATCAACGTTTTATTGATAGTTGGTTGGGTCACAATCACCTCATCGCGAATTTTTCTACCACGACTATTCTAATAAGTAATAAGCGAATCTTATATCCAAGACTTTAAATCTGTTTAAAAAAAATAGGGAATTTGGCATTCTATTGCTCTATTAGAATTTTTGATTATTCTATTGAAAAGTTTTAATAGTAAGCTATGTTAAATTTTTATCGAAATATATTTAACCTTTTGTTTATTAAATATTCTAATCGCAAATTGTTAGGAGAAAAAAATCTACATGTAAAAATACACTATTGTTTCTATTGCTCCATTCGCGAATCAAAATTTTATGACCAACACTGAATATTATAGATTAAATATATAAAACTTAATAACAGTAAACGAGTGAAGATTATAATAAGGATATTATTGAATAACATCTAATACTATTTGTGATTGCCTAATCAAGGATTATTATACATAAAAAATATGTAGACTCGTAATTATACACAGTATTATTCCTATTGTCATAAGGGAGCTGCTAACAGTATTTGAATTATATCCCGAAGCAGATGGTAAATTTGGGAAATTTGTTGGTGAATTTTGTGAGCAAGAATCAGCTCCATTCATACATGCTAAGTTAAATTTACATTCACTAGCATCCTTTATATCTTCTTTTAACGAATATAATAACTTTAATATTACTATAATTTCGTAATTTGTTGGTGGTAAATCTATATCAATATTAGATAAACTTTTGATATTTTCACATGAAATACAAGAATCATTATTTGTCACACTTGAATTTGCCAAACTTATTCCAAAATTGTTTATGCACTCTACTAATTTTTCAGCAGTTTCTTCTAATTCATCAGCCTCTTCATTAGAATAACCATTTTCTGTTGCCCATTTTATTACTCCTTGATTGATTGCTGTTATTGTTTCTGTTGGTGTTGTTGTTACTATTTTTGTTTCTGTTTTAGTTACTGTAATTGTTATTGTCTTTGTCGTCGTTGTCACTATTATATATTTACTAATGTACCTAACTATATACTCAACAACTTCTTGTGTTATTAGTGTTATTGTTGGTGATAACGTTGGTCTACTGCATAAGCCGTTGCCAGCACATTCATAACCTAGCATACAACAACCACTTTTGTCACTACAACAATGGGAGGTATCTGGATCGCAACAATATATTCCACAACATTTATAACCTGTCTGACAACAATGTTGTCCATCATCACAACAACCATAACCGGATGGACAACATCCACTGTTATCGCCGCAAATTATACTGCATTGTGTGGAACAGCATAAAGCAGAATTTGGACATTGAGAATATCCAGGTTCACAAATGTAAACGGCTCTTTCTACCAAAGAGGATTGATTAGAGAATGTTCCAACTTGATATGCATCATCCTGAAATGCTCCAAATAATTCATTTCTACTCCATTTAAAAGGTATTGTAGGTGTCGCAGCATAAGTTAAATTACCGAAGAATGCAATGATAAAAATAAAGATTAACAGCGCTAGATTTTTCAACATTGTAAATTAAGGATAGAGTGAAAGTGAAATATCTACGAAAAACAAGGGAAGATAGTATAGGAAAATAATTATATATATATATAATTTTAGCATTTTGTTTTCTTTAGTATCTGTAATAATAAATTTTACTTTTTTTGTCTATTTTTCTTTGTAGGCATTAATCACAAAACATTAAGTGTTACACGATTAAAATTTGGATAATTTTGTAACGTAATATAATCATTATTTAAATTTTAATACATTTTTCCACATATGGTTAATTTACTTTTGAACATAAATGAAATTAACTAATAATAGTGTTTAGAGTAATTTAAAGTGCGATCTGATTTGTAATCTAATATTTGCATTAGTAATGTAATATTACAGTTGGAAAAATGTGACCCGAAATAAATCTGTGCAATTAACAAAAGACTAACAAAATTTGATTTTGGCGACATTAAACAAGATTAACTCTAAAAAAAAATGCAAAAACACAATGCGGAATTATCAATAGGTTTCATATTATTAAAGTAAGCGAGGGGAGCTCTCCTTCGAGTTATTAATAGTCTCAATTTGAGATATCGTTTTTGTCTTTTTTTTACATGCTTTGTTATTATATTTACAATAGCAATTAAGGCTTTGAATATTTCTACTTTTTTTTTTTATTTGATTGTTTCTATGCTAATTACATTGCACAAGTTTGAAGGTTACTAGAAGTTTTTAAATTTCCACGATATTTTTCACATTCTTTGATGTTTTTTTAGCATTATATTCTTCATGCTTAGAATTTATACATGACAAAAGATTCCATCAATTACTACGAATTTATTAAACATTATATAAATTAATTAAAATTAATGATAAAAATATTAAAATTTAAATAATTATAATACATATCGGCGGATTTACGGAATTGAAATTGGACCCTAAAAATGGCCAAAATACGTTTGTTTACAAAATTGATTGGTCAGATGATGGTCAGATGATCGACATACTGATCATATAAATAAACCCAATAGATAAGCGTTAACCCTAGAGATCATAGGCCGACATTCATCTGATTGGCTAATTGATTCAATTGCCCGGGTAACTAATTTATGTGCTTTAAAGTACT